GGTAAACTCTGCTTCTTTCTGTTGTCTCTAAAAATCTGGAAAGTACTTCGCATTGAAAGCTTCTAGAAACACCTCCCAAGTGATTGGGGAGATCAGAGCTCCTCTTTTCAATTTCCACCAGCGCTCGGCGGATCCTCTTAACATGGATGTAGCCAGTTGTACCTTCTGTTTCGTGGTCACGGTTACCACTTCAAATAATTTTTCTGTTTCCCTTTCCCAATCTTCCGCCACCAATGGGTCAGAACCCCCATTGAAGGCAGGAGGGTTAGCCTTCGGTATTTTTCAATGTTGCTTGTATCCACTACACCTAGGTGAATCCCCTGTTGCGGTACCGATGCTATCTCTGCCTGTAATGCTCTATCCCTAATCATAGTAGCTAGGCTCTTAACTACTCTGCATAGCCGATTAAAGTCCTCTTGTTGCACGCTGGATTACCCCGCATGGGTTGTAGATGGGCCAGTAGCAGGTCTCGGCTATGCGGGAGGGGGCACGGCGTGGCACGAGAGCGGCCCTTGAAATACAGCGAGTGGGTCCTAGGTATTTTTCTATAAAATAATTTTGGAATTATCTTTCTAATATCATTTTGTATAGTATTACATACAATCACATTAATGCTTCGTTGTAATTCAAGCCCTAAAATGGATATTTTTCTGTAATCTTTTTAATGTATTTTTTAATAAAAAATAAAATAGATAAAAAATAAAAATGTCCCAATTTTCAAACTTTATACAGCCGAAAGGAAAAAAATTTGCAGGTTCATTAACAGAACCTCTATTTCTAAATAACATTGATTTTAAAAAATACATAACTCTCTTATTTTTCGTCCAAAAATTATAAAAAACATCAAATTAAAGCTTTTAATCTCTACCTTCATACAAGACCAATATTGCATATATTTAAGTAATAAAACACAAAAGTATTAATTGTAAAAAACTGTTATTACTCAAACATTTAACAAAAATGCAAATTGGAATAAAATTAAATATACAATTAACCAAAATGCTCTGATACCAATATTAGGAAACTTATGGAATTAACATATAATCCATAAAACAATTCTTAACTACTTTTCTAAGATCATTTTGCATAATTTCATATACAATCACATTAATGGTTCGTTGTAGTTCAAGCCCTACAATGGATATTTTTTTGTATTTTTTTGAAAAAAAATTAAAATAGATAAAAAGACAAAAGTGTCACCATCTTCAACCTCTGAGAAAGGAAAACAATTTGTAAGTTTATTTACAGAACTTCTATTTCTAAATAGAAATTATTTTAAAATATACATAATTCTCTAATTTTTTGTCCAAAAATTATAAATAATATACCAAATTAAAATTTTTTTTCTCTACTTTTATTTAAGACCAACATTGCATATATTTGAGTAATAGAACACAAAAGTATTAAATGTAAAAAATTATTATTACTAAAACATTCAACAAAAATGCAAATTGGAATAAAATTAAACATGTAATTAACCAAAATACTCTGATACCAATGTTAGGAAACTCATGAAATTAACATATAATCTATAAAATAATTTTGTAATTTTTTTTCCAAGATCATTTTGCATAGTATCACATACAATCACATTAATAGTTCTCTGTAGTTCAAGCCCTATAATAGACATTTTTCTTTGATTCTTTTAAAGTATTTTTTCTGAAAAAAATAAAATAGATTAAAAGATAAAAACGTCCCCATCTTCAACCCCTGAACAATCGAAAGGAAAAAAATTTGTAAGTTCATCAACAAAATCTCTATTTCTAAATAGTATTGATTTAAAAAAATACATAACTCTCTTATATTTTTTTCAAAAATTATAAAAAATTATCAAATTAAAGCTTTTAGTCTTTACCTTCATATAAGACCAATATTGCATGTATTTGATTAATAAAACACAAAAGTATTAAATGTAAAAAATTGGTATTACTCAAACATTCGATAAAAATACAAATTGGAACAAAATTAAACATGCAATTAACAAAAATGCTCTGATACCAATATTCGAAAACTCATAGAATTAACATATAATTTATAAAATAATTCTTTAACTATTTTTCTAAGATCATTTTGTATAATTTCATATACAATCACATTAATGGTTCGTTGTAGTTCAAGCCCTATAATGGGTTTTTTTCTACAATTTTTTCAAAGTATTTTTTCTTAAAAAAAACTAAAATAGATAAAAAGACAAAAGTGCCATCATCTTCAAACTCTGAATAACCGAAAGAAAAGTAATTTGTAGGTTTATTGACAGAACTTCTATTTCTAAATAGAATTGATTTTTGAAATTATATAACTTTATAATTTTTTGTCCAAAAATTATAAATAATATACCAAATTAAAATTTTTTTTCTCTACTTTTATTTAAGACCAACATTGCATATATTTGAGTAATAGAACACAAAAGTATTAAATGTAAAAAATTATTATTACTAAAACATTCAACAAAAATGCAAATTGGAATAAAATTAAACATGTAATTAACCAAAATACTCTGATACCAATGTTAGTAAACTCATGAAATTAATATATAATCTATAAAATAATTTTGTAACTTTTTTCCTAAGGTCACTTTGCATAGTATTACATACAGTCACTTTAATAGTTCACTGTAGTTCAAGCCCTACAATAGACATTTTTTTGTGATTTTTTTAAAATATTTTTCTTTAAAAAAAAGTAGAAGAAAAATAAAAATTTCTCCATCTTCAACCTCTGAACAACCAAAAAGAAAAAAATTTGTAGATTCATTAATAGAACCTCTATTTCTAAATAATATTGATTTTAAAAAATGCATAACTCTTTTATTTTTGGTCCAAAAATTATAAAAAATATCAAATTAAAAGTTTTAGTCTTTACCTTCATATAAGACCAATATTGCATATATTTGAATAATAAAATACAAAAGTATTAAATGTAAAAAACAGCTATTACTCAAACATTCAACAAAAATGAAAATTAAAAAAAATTAAACATGCAATTAACCAAAATGCTCTGATACCAATATTAGAAAACCTATGGAATTAACATATAATCCATAAAATAATTCTTTAACTATTTTTCTAAGATCATTTTGCATAATTTTATATATAATCACATTAATGATTACTTTAGTTCAAGCCCTACAATAGATATTTTTCTGTAATTTTTTCAAAGTTTTTTTTTTAAAAAAATTAAAATAAATAAAAAGACAAAAGTGTCACCATTATCAACCTCTGAACAGCTGAAAGGAAAAAAAATTTTAGGTTTATTGACAGAACTTCTATTTTTAAATAGAAATTATTTTAGAAAATATATAATTCTCTTATTTTTTCTCTAAAAATTATAAATAATATTTCAAATTAAAGTTTTTGGTCTCTACTTTCATCTAAGACCAACATTGCATATATTTGAGTAATAGAACACAAACTATTAAATGTAAAAAACTATTATTACTAAAACATTCAACAAAAATTCAAATTAGAACAAAACTAAACATGTAATTTGTAACGACCCCAGAAATATCCAAAGGGTTCCCTACGGACCCGGTCCATCCACCATCTCTCAGGATATCTAGTCAGGCTGTCCACATTATCCATTTTGCCTTTTTCCTTGATCTCAATCATCCAATCTTACACAACATGTAAACCAGTAATTGACACCAAACAAGACAACACAGTATCGGGTTCACCATAATACAAACCATAATAAAAGAAACCATGATTTATGCATACGAGACCATAACATAATTACATCAAACATCATACTGCATTTTATACTGAAAATTAGATCAAACAACAACTAACCAACAATGTATCAAACTCGGGCTCCATTGGCAACCTTAATCAATTATACATCTATAAAGTCACAGAGTAGAGTTTAATTATTTATTTAGCTTTAATACCGTGATAGGAAACAGGGTGAGGGTTCCTTACTTGTTTCGGGGTCTGAATTCGACTACTGCCTACAGGCTGTCCCTAATTTCCCTGAATTTTTTCTGAAAAACTAAAATGCACTACCGGTACCTGCACGTGTCCCAAAAAATCCCAAATCAGACCTAGGGCCCCTTTTGGCCAATATCAAAATTCTGGCACGGCAGCTCCGTCGTGCTCCGGCGACGGCAATCCGCCTCGGGTTGGCCGTTTTCAGCCGAATTTTGCCACACTTGCATTGGTCCCTGCGATAAAACAACCCTAGGGCCCTCGGGGGGCCAAAAAATACAAAAAACTGAGACTTACCGGCGGCCGTGCTCTCGGGTGCGGCGGCTCTTCCGGCGTGAGTCACGTTTTGATGTTTGGCTCTGATCAACCTGTAGAGAAAAGAACGGTGATCATAATGGTATAAAATTTGCATCGAACGGAGGCTGGGAAGGGCCTCATCAGAAACAAAA